GTAAAATGAAAGTGATTGTAGTTTTTACCTGCTCTGTTTGTTCTTAGGATGAAGTGAATTAATGAATGTGAAGTCTGTGTAATAGACTCGCACGTGGGAAGCCCTCAGGAAGGGTGGGCTGTTCTCGCTCTTGTATGTCCTACAGGTTAGCCAGTCACCTCTGAGTCTCTGATGGCATTTGCGGGTTACCTGTCATCACCCAGACTAAGGAATAGCCACCGGCAGGGATTTTAGTGTCCAGCTTCAAACTACCCTGAAGTTCAAAATGTGCCTCTTCTCTCATAGGATCCTACACAGAAATGAGCGCATCACGGCTATTATGTTCAACCCAAGTTCAGAGGGGAGAGGGCTGTACCAACCAGAATTATCTGGAACAGCTTCAAGCCTAAGGGAGAAGCTGATCTCATCTGAGATCAAAATAACAAAGAAGAAGAAGGGGACCTTGCCAGAAGTTTTCTCCAGATGGAAGGTCAGGGGAGCAGAGGTGGGCGGGGCTCCCGATGAACTCGGTTATGTTGCCCATGTAATTTCCATTCTGAAGGTAGACATTAAGCGGGACAAAACAATCCTACTGAGAGGAGCTTCATGACTTCAGGGGACACAAACAGGAAGTATGGCCGCGAGGTTTCAACATTCCTTACTTCGGGTACTTAGACTTCAGGCATTGAAAGCTACTTGGTTTTGTCCGAATGAGACACAGACTTGCAAGGTGTTATGGGAAATCTAGCTCTAAATGACAAGAGGCTGTTTAGGAAACCAATGGGCATGTAATTTTCATGCAGGTGAGAGTTTCTCTTTTAAATATGCTATATTTTGAGTCCACCTGGAGGGAGCTATAGCCCCACGGAAGTCTCTGAGTAATTCACTAGGAGAGATTATCTTTTTCAGCTTGTACTTTTCAGAAAAAGAATGTACAAGCCTTCTGGACCCTGTTCATCTATGTCTCCAGTGTTAGAAATCCCACTTCTCCTATTTAATCAATAACTGTCTACTGACACCAGCCATAAGCTCAACCAATGTGGAAGATACAAGAAATTTATAAGATGGACAGCAGTCAACTGCTGACCAATCTCCTCCTGTCTGCCCAGCATGATCTATGTACAAAATTGTTCAACAATAAAAGAAACACCCAGTGCCGTTAACCAAAAAAAAAAAAAAAATGCCTCTATCAAAAATAATACCCCATGGTTTAAGAAGCTGTTTCTACAACTGTCCCCCTGCTAGTTCTGGGGCTTCTTTAGGGAAGAAATCATTTCCTATTTATTGCTACATCCATAATAGCTATTGTCTGATACAGGATACTCAATATCATTTGTTGAGTGAATGAATACATGGATGGGTGAATGTATGATGAATGTATGAATGAATGAACAAATGAATGAGTGCCTGAGTAAATGATGCCTGAAAAGTAGGACTTAGGGTCAAAGGGAGAAGTAGAGCAAACCAGATCGGAGTAGAAAATGAAGACAAAAACGAAAACAGGTAGAAAATCTTTATGGAGCAAGAGGGCGTCTTGAAAAACAAAGCAAGGCAGGTTAGATAGGTTGTTCTATGATAACATTCACCAAAAATTGCTCTTATTTTAAGTCATTTCCTCTTATTCAGTCATTAGAAGAAAATGGATATCAGCCAGTCACAGTAGCTCCCGTAAAAACCCTTCAGCTATTGGAAAGTAGCCGCTATTTATACTATATCTGGTTTTGCTCACAGTTGTGTCCATAGCACTTGGCAGATCATAGACGCACGACAAGTAGCGTTAAAAGAACGAGTCCATGAGCTAAGCTTCTTCTTTCCCATGGCCTTCGTGATCCTCCCTGGTCCACACACCAAGCCAAATCTCAGAGTTCCAAAACTTGCTTTCCAAACTGATTCTCTGTCTTGGGCAAGAGTATTGAATTAGAGTTGCCCAGGCTCTGGGTAATATTAGATGATTATTAAGCAGGCTTGATCACATGTGCTTCTGCAAACATTCAGGGGTCAAAAACCATTCGGAGCTGTGCACAAAGCATCTCTTCATACCCATTAGTCCTCCTTTCCAGAACATAGCCCATCGCACAAAATGTAACTGGTTGGCCAAACGCTCATCTGAGCGTCCCACAGTTTAATGCGATGGCAAGGGTAGGTTTCTTAGACTGATGTTGTGGGCACCTGTGGGATCACCTCTCCCAAACTTCTTACTTGTTTAAAAGTCTGATTTAAGTCTGGCCTTCCCTCCTCGAGCTTCAGCTCAAGAATAATTCAAGAATACTTGGATTAGGAAGGATTCTGCCTTCCACTCACATTGTCTTTCTTCTATCAATCTTTCTTGTTCTGATTTAAACAAAATTCTATCCCCGAATCTATTACCTACTAGTCCTTTCCATCAGCATAGAGCATACCAGCCCGATTTCCACACTAGAGACAGATGCTTGGGACAAGAACCTTGAATAGTGACCCATCTCTTACCATCCAGCCCTGTCGTCTGGGAAACCTATGCCTTCTTCCCCTTGAATTGTCTGTCTCCTCCCCTTCAAGCCTTCAACATCATCATCCTCAGGCTATTCCTCTGAGATTAACTGCCTCCTGTTTTCTCATCTCCCTCTTGTCTTGCCTCCTTCTCCCCAGCTGTGTGCTCACCTACACATGTTGTCAGCCCTGGTTGGTGGATTTAAACTTGAGAGCACAGGCTACAATTTCTATTTTCTTCACAAACTTGACAGCACCCAGTTCAGAGCCTTCCAGACAGTGGGATCCTAACACAATGCAGACTGACTCCAATTTCAGAAGCCATTCGCCTGGGCATCGCCTCCATTCAGCCTCTTTCACGAGACCCTGAGCTTGCTTTGCATCTACAGTTCCACCAACCGTCCCCAAGTCAAGGCTGCAAATTATGTTTTTAACCTCTACTCAGGGTCTGACTGTAGGGCAGTACACTTATTTTTGGCTGTGCTTCCAAAAAATTCTTGCTACTGTTCCTTAGAACTCCATCCCATAAGGCTTTTGGTTGTGCACTTCCTAGATCTGGAAACCCAAGAGTGCCTGCATCACAGGCTTTGGCTTAAACGCCGCTTCAGTGTCATGTGATAAATCTATATCCTTGAGGACCATTTTCATGCTAGAAAAACTAGCACAACTGCTTTGCATGACTCTTTGCAAACATCAAAAACCTACCATCCAACTGTTCGTGTACTAACATGTGCTTTCCAAAACAAGTCATATTCTTTTTCATGACACTTTTCTACACTTTATGCCCTTTAACTCATTCTCTTCATTCCATTTAGTTTAGTCAGTTTTGTGCCATGCTATTTAGTCCCGATTTTCAGATAACTTTTGCATCTGCAATATTTAAGACCTCTTGCACTCTAATAAGTTGTGTAAGTCACAGATAACAGCACGTTAAAGATAAGGATCTTGACAAACAGAACCTCCCGAAAACCACCCCTTCTCCCTGCTTCCACTCACTAAGAGATTTCTGAGTAATGCTTTTGGCTTCAATTTTGGGAAGGCAAAGTGAGGACTAAGCGACTTTCACAAATCTTTATCCAAAACTACAGATGAGGCTAACCTGGGGACTTGGGATGCCCATTAAAAGAGTGCCGTCGGTTATCAAACATTTCCTCAGGTGTAGTGAGCAAAAGCGTCAGTGTGACTCCTACCTGTGAATAGGACCCTTTGGACGATGTCTTTCCAACATACGTATCACTTGACTCTAATCATGCTTAACTTTGCTTATTACTAGATAGATGATACCTTTCTCTCATGTTTTATATTCTTCCTGAAAATCAATTCTTTTTCTCCTCATTGAAAATATTAAGAAGATTCACTAGTTTTTACTTAGGGGTCTTGACTTCCCCGTGGTCCCTGCCACCTATACGCACACCCAGAAGCGCGCACGCGCGCGTGCGCACACACACACACACACACACACACACTCACATACTCACTCACACTCACATTCTCCCTTATTTCATGATACTTTCTTTCCAAATGAAGATGCTTAGCTAACGATCACAGATGGGTTAACGCTTTCCCAGTTTTGAAAATGAGGTCTATGCAGCCTCATATTAACCAGGGTGGACAATGTGAGTGATTCATGCAATGCCCAAAAAACAGACTCCTGCTGGCACCATTTGTTCCTCCCTCACACTTGTTGAACTTAGATTTGGTGCTAAACCCGTTCCGACCAGAGCAAAGACCCCTCCCGCTTTAAATATTTAGACTTTGGGGCAAACCTGAGCAGACAATGCCATATCTCTCGGTGCTGATTCTCAAACACCCTCCAAAACTTTTCTCACCTCCTACAAAGAAGTGAGTGCCCTCCCACCTTAGTCTGATCCCAGCATTAATATCACGTCGTGAGAACTGCTCAGGTTTTCTAAAAAAGACCAGAAACTGCAGGCTGACGTAAACATCAAACCGTGCCTTTCATAATTCCTAGATACGAGGGAGAAATGCATGGGCTGAAAATTAAGTAAATAAAGCTGTAATTACAAATGCCCGTTTCCTTGACAACTCCCCTCCCCCAGCCCTCCTGTGATAGGGAAAAACCAAAATGAGAGTGAGGAGGGGTAGCACAAAGCCATGCTGGGTTTCAGCCAGCCTAGGCAACAACCAGCGCGAAAGCAGCCAACTCGGAGGGAAAAACAGATCAATCAATTTATGTCGGGGCCGCATTTTGTGTAGTATTTTTGTGGTTGCCATAGAAACGCCAGAGAGGGAAGAACATGTTGCATGACACAAAAGAGACCGATATGTAACAGGAACCTTCTCCCGGCTTCATCTATTGCAGAAATAAAGAAAAAAAGATTTAACCCGCGGGGGTCCGGGGGGCAGCGTGAAACGAGGCCCAGACAGCCGCTCGCAATCACCGCAGGGGAAGGAAGGCTCACCCGGCTGAGCACAAAGGAAAGTCCTTCGGTAGCAGCGAGCCCCGCGGTGCCTTCCCGGGCTGCCCACCGCGTTCCCAGGGGCGCCTCACTTCCTTCTCCTCCGCCCGCCCGGGTTCCTCGGTCTGCACCTACCTACCCCTTCCAAAGGGTCTCATGAAATCCAGCCAAGGAGAGAATAACCGTGACAGAAAGAGGGACAGAAATCCGCCACGCCCAGAGGTGAAGTCGCCTGGAAATAGCACGCGAGCGGCACCAACCTCCTTCCTGGCAGCCCTGGACGCATGGACTTGGAGAGGAGGCGCTGAAGGGGCGCAGGCTGGGGCGCAGGGATTGCCACTACTTTAGAGGAGCTGTAAGTCAGCCAACGCTGGGAAGAAAAGGCGAGACTCCACCCATGGGGTGGACCCTTCGGAGGGAAGGGGAAAAAAAAGTGGTCCTCAGCTGACGCCTCTCCCCACCCCATGTCACTTCCTTTTAAAGCTACAATTGAGCGGCTGCGGGGAGGGCAGATCGGGGCCGGTGTAATCTGAGTCACCGCCTGCCCCTTCCCAGAAGTGCGAGACGGGCTTGGGTCGGCTTCGCGTCGGAAACCCGGCTCGCGAACCTGCCAGGATCCCAGACAAAGCCCGCTAGGTGGCCTTGCGTTTCCTTCCGCGTCCCCAAATCCTGTTGCATCCCTGGGCCGACATGGCTCCTCCCCGCTCCGCTCGGACAGACGGCAGCCTGGAAACTGTCCTAAACGGACTCCCGTCTCCTTCAGCGAGCAGACAAGCGATGCGTTTTTGTAAAATGCCCGCGTCTGACCCCCCGCCCCTCACCTCTCGCTGGCCACGCTGGGCTGGATGGAGGCTGCATTCCGCTCCGGAGAGCCGCCGGGCACCTTCGACCAAACAACCAGGAGAACTCGAGCTGTGAGATGCGAAGAACGCGAAAAAGGAGGCACTTTCTCCGCGCCAAGTGGCCCCCGGGGGAGAGTGCCACCGCGCACACTCACGCGTGCACGTGGCACTCACACCGCGGTGCGCTGGGGACGGGTGGGCGGACCTTCATCAAATAAGAGTGTCTGCACGACTTGCAAAGAGGGCGGGCTCTTGAAACTCCAGGTACGCCGGGTCACCAACATTCCTTAAAAAAACGATTTCAGCCTCCAAATAGTGAAGGCGTGCAGGCCCTTCAAAAGTTCCCTATCAGAAACACAGTCACAATAATAGGAGGATTCACATATGTCTTCTGTGTTTACCCCCGTTCTGTAGATGTCTGCAATCTACAGGGGGAAATCAAACGTTCGCAAATAACTTGAACACCTTGCAGAATTACTAAGAACTACAAAAGTGCTAAACATAACAAACAACAAGGAAACAGCGCGCCAGGAGAACAGAGGGGGTGGGAAGAGCTGGTTTGGGCCGCGATGCGGGGAAGGCATTCAGCACTCAGGAAACAGGGTTTGGGCCGGGCCCTCTAGGGTGTGTGGCATTTCCATAGTGATGGGAAGGGGAGGGCAAAGCTACATGAGGAGGCACAACATCTGAGACTGAAAAAGAGGCCTGCGCAGAGAACCCATTGGGGGCAACGGCTTATTTGACTATCCATGTGAAAATAAATCTGACCATATGGAAATGCTTATAAAAATGTCTATAGGAGTTTCTTGCAGCCAATGCAGTTTTGAGTCCTTTCTTGTAACTTTTTAAATTATGTTTTAAAATCCATTTGTATCTAGGATTGTAGAAACCTGCAAGGGTTTTTCAAAGTGCTTCTCAGTAGAGTTACACTGATTGTTTTTCATATTTGAATTTTGAATGGAAGTTTATTTCAAAACCTACAAGTTGCTCAAATTTGTGCTATCTTTATGACAAGTACAGCTAATGACTTCGGTAGAAACAATATGAAATTTAAAATGTTGACAATTGCAAGTCTTATCCGGATCTCAATATTTTTAATGTGTCTTTATTCCATTATGATCATAATTATTATCATGCTTATTGCTATAGTAACATGAGTAACTTTGCTCATCTAGATGTTGCTCACAATCTTAATTATTTCAGAAATATAGCTGAGAAATATGGGAGAAAAAAATGACTACTTCTAAAAATTTAAAGTGGAAGTATGACCTTCATAGATTCAATCCTATGCACTTTATTCAGGGTTCCCTTTAGAGTCCACCTTAATTTTAGATATCCTTATTTAGCTATTTCTATTTAGACAAGGATCTGTGACTATCTCCGGGTCACAATCTAACAATTCAGTTCAACAAATCCTTATTGAGAATCTGTGCTAGTTGCTGAAGGTAGAAAAACATGAATAAGACATGCCATTGCCCCAAGGTCTTAGGAGAGAAAGAGACTTGTAGACAGTTAAGATGCCATGTAGGCTGAAGTCTGTACAAGGTTCACAAACGGTCCCAAGGATGGGGAGAGGGAAAGAAGGGAGCGTGTCCACACAGTTCCTTAGCTCACAGCAAGCTGCAAAAGGGGTGAGAAGGAACAGTATATTCACTAGCGATCCTGTAAGAAAACAATGCTGGTAATTGGAGAGGCTTAAAAGGAGGTAAAAGGCATAAACTGGTAACTCAAAAAAAGGATACACAAATAGCCAATAAACAACAACAAAAAAGATGCAACCTCATATACAAATGTAAGTAGAAGGAAGAGATGTCATTTCTTTATCCATCCACTTACTAAACATTCAAAAACTATAACGGACAAGGTAAGGAGGATGCTATGCAAAGGCTCGCTCAGCTCTTCCAGGTGACAGTAAATTGGCACACAGTAGGAACTGTGGCTGACTCGAGAAGACAAAGAAAAAAAAGTGTAAATAATAAAGGCAAATTGGTATTTGGAATCTATTGTATAATCTTACATTCAATAGTTGTATATTTCAACCAACTCTAGTTGAGCCTTAAAAATGTGTCATCTATATGTTTTTATGACCAACAAGCTCTTAAGTCTATAGTGTTATTATTGCAATCATTTTAAGTATACTCACATAGCTTTACCATTAACAATCCGCCAGGGAAGTAGAGAGGAACTAGATAAGTTTCCCTCCTTGATAAATGATTGTGACTGAAGTCATTCCCTGAACATTCATGGACATACAGAACCCTCTGTGGATCAGCTCTTGATGAACCTTAACTTGGAAGTTTGTTTTAAGCCACTTAAAAATTGTTCCCAATATTCACTTAGCTGCTCTCTCTTCTCCGTATCTTCAGGTCAATTCAGTTGGGCAGGGGTGACCCTGGAAAATTCACTCATTTCCTCCTCCTGTACACAAGAGATGAGCACCTGGAAATCATATGACACAGGAGCCAATCTACCATGATAGGAAGAACTGAACTCAAATAAATCAAGGCCCAGCTGATGGGCAGCAAATTGAAAAGTTACCGGCTTCAGGATCTAATTTGAAAAGACAAGGTAACACAAAAGAATACTGAAAGTTAACTTGCGTAGTCCTCATAACAAGGTGAAAAGACATCACGTATTTTGAGAGGTATTTAAGTCTGGATGATTTTCAGCCCTTGCACTTTATACTATTGTGTGATTATTTTTAAATTGTAATTAAGCATGGATTACTTTTATAAGCAGAACACTTGAAAATAAATTCTTGAAAATAAATTTTGGTACGAATTGTTGACATAATGCTTTTCTCTATTTGGCAATCATTTAAGCCCTTAATCATTACTTAGAAGGTAATCTAATTAAATTGTGGTTCTGGAGCTGGTGACTCAGAAACTGCATTTTAACAGCATCCCCGGGAGACTCACAAACACATAAAGTTTGCGAAGTACTTGTTCTAGTCCAAATCTCTCATTTTTCCGAGGGTCCTCTTGTCCTGGGTTACACAGTGAATAGGAAACAGCGCTGAAGCAAATCCTCCCTTTTAAATGATTCCTACCTTCACATTTTTTCCACTGTATTCCCTAGGCTTTCAGAGGAAAAAACAAGTCTGAAAGAAAATCTATTGGCATAAAAATGTTAAAATGAGAATTTCTGCTTAAACTCATGTTCATTATTCTAGGTGTGGTTATTAAAAGTTCATCTGTACTCCGTACATTTGAGTTTATACAGAGTCAGTTTCACCCAAGGAAAATTAATCTTGGAGTTTGGCAACCCTCAGAGCAAAGTTGGCAAAACGTATATGACATTTTTTCCTCGTGATCACTCATTTTATCTTGTTTTCAAGCCAAAGCCAAGTGTAGTTCAAGAAATCTTCGCTTCACGACTGATTTGCAAGAGATGGCAGAGAGTCCTGATTCTTTACATAAGTTTTTGGAGTCTTAGCTTCTTCCTCAGACATAAAATTCGTGGTCAAGATGTTTATTTGAGACAGTATATGTGAAGCCCCTGAAATAGTACAGAAGTTCAAAAAGTAATCCTTTTTTTCTTCTCTCCTCATCCCCGTCACTGAAATACAGACAACTTTCAGATCTGTATTTCCAGTTGGCATCTCTTTCCTAACCCTCAGACACGTTTACCCAGTAATCTGATGAATGTCTTCATGGAGCGAACCCAAAGGCATCTCCAAAGCTGACCTTTTGGCCCCAATCTTGCCAGGGCTCTGGAGTTCTGTTCCACAAGTTTCTGGTTCCCTGTTTCGGTGAATGGTGACTTCAAAGGTACCTTTGATTGTGCCCTGTTCCTCTTGCATCTCTTTCTCCTCACGCCACCTGTTAATTTTCTTCTCAAAGACATTTATAAACAGTCCTGTCCTCTCATCGCCACTGCGGCTGGCTGAGTCCAGGTCCCATCACTTGTCTCTTGGTTGACTGCAAAAGAACCTTCAACTTTTTGTTTCTGCACAAAACTCAAATTCCTTTGGGTAACATGCTAGACTTTATGCCCTGGCCCCACCTCTCTCTCCAGTGTCACCTCTTGCCTCCTTCCATACTTGCCAAGGACCACCCTCGTTTACCTCTCATCAGCTGACTTCCCTCTCCCAGCCTCCGAGAGGTGCTTACCATCTCCTCCAGGAGGCCCCCAGCTTCTTTAATAGGAAGAGTGGCCTGAGCTTATATGAATTAATGCGTTTACCACAATGGCACTGGATTGGTTGCTTTTGTGTATTTATTACCTACTAGCTTATGAGGACAGGCTCTTTATTTTCAAAGATCTGACATGTCACCGGGCTCCATAAGTGCTAACCAAGTGAACACACATAATCACCTGAATCACCTCTTGCTACAGGCAGGTAAAACTCTGTTTCTACTCCAGTAACTCAAAGAAATTTCGCATGCATATTTTCATGTTTTCATAGTAGCTCAGAAAATTCCATTATATTTTTATTTCACACATCCTAAACAGATTTCCTTATCAGAATTTTCATAATTATCTTCTTAATGGTGTCCAAAATACTTAGTATACAATAATGCTAATATCTGTCCTCCTGTTGAGTATTACCTGCTTCCTCCTCCTAGGGATCATTTCTCAGTTTCATTCGCTTCCATTTATTGAGCACTGAGCACTCTGTATTAGATACTATTTTTTTCCCCATTTTATATATGAGCAATTTGAAGATTAGCTGGGGCAAGTCACTTCCTCAAGGTTACGTAGCTGGTAAATAGCGGAGGCAGAATTTCCACTGAGGTGTGCCTAACTCAGACCATAGTTTTAACCTCTGTACTACACCGCTATTACGACAGACATGGTTTTCTCTTTGGGTGACGCCCTAAGATAGTCCCACTGAATGTACTGATACATGCAGCTCATCACCACTTCGCTATCATTGGTTAATACCTTAAAAATGTTTTGCAAGTTTCACAATTTTAAATAATGCCAATTTTAACTTTTGTACATTAAATGTGAGGGTCAAGCTCTTTCAAAGCACACTCGTTTTTACCTATTCTTGTCATTTGTATGTATTTTGTGTGAGCCATATTCTTATGCATTGACCATTTATGCCTTGGTCTTGGTACTAATATTTATCATTTGCATATAAATTTTAATTTGTTATTCTGAGTCCCTTTTTTGTGTATGGTATAAGATGTTCAAGACGATAAGCAAGTTTTGCCATCCTTTCATGCCATTTATTAAATGTCTTCCATTTTTTCTTGTTAACCTAAAAATAAAAGGTCAAAGCAAGAGGCAACAAGCATCCATTTGGGATCAAAAAAGAAGAGCTGTCTGCAACGCACTGATTCAGGCAGAAGCCCAAATAGTGTTCCTGTTAGGAGACAGCGGCCAGGGGTATTTATGAGAAGAAGGGACAATGACACCCATAGAAGGAAGGCATTTCTATTGGTGCAGATAAGCTAACATAATGATGCTAATTCTAAACAATGTTTTAAACTTTCAGTCCAGTAGTCATCAGTCTAGTAGTCATAATATCTGGTTTCTTGTTATCTTTGCAAACAGTTCTTTTGGATACAATGTTGCCCTAGGCCCGATCCAAAGGTTATTTTGCCCTGTTTTAACATTCCAAAGGTTTGAGGCATCAGACGTGCCAGGCAGTTCCTGTGTCATGGCAGCTCCGACTCTATGTTAAAGTGGCTCCGTTTATATTATTTGTTTTTTGTGGGTTTCTTTTTGTACATTTTGAGTCTGCTGACATAGAAAGAGTTTGGGCTTTTGGAGAAAACATGTGGGTTAGGATGCTGGCTGGGTAGTTGGGTGCAGCCTGTCCCCAGAAGGAGCACACGTTTTCCTCTGTCCCACCTGTAGGGTGGGGTGTGGGACAGAGGAAGAGTGAAGTGTCCCACGTCCCCCACACAGGGTGTCCCTGTCTGAAGGATGTGCGCTTTTCTCCAGGTGGAAGCTGCAGAACAGAGCTGTGCCAGCCAGACATTTCCCAAGGCACCTGGGTGGCCCAGGACGATGGACGTTGCCAGTAAGCAGAGGCAGACCTGGAGCAGCCGGCTGAGAGGGAGCCTTTGCCAGGGGAGAAAGGTAAGCAGCAGAGTAAGCAAGACGCCGCAGAGAAGAGCGATGAGGTGTGGTTCTGGCCCTCTGCATGTCTCCTGGGCTGTTCGTGTCTTGCCTTGCTTCCAGCTGAGTGACACTGGTCACCTGAGTGAGTCCCCACAGTCCCACTGGGCTGTGGCAGGGCCATCTCCCACCCTGACACAGAAACTGGCAGCACCTGGCCCCTGAGCTTGTTACTGATGTGCTTTCTTGGTTGTCTTGACTACGCTCCCACCCAATATGTTTTCCTGGCCCATCCATGGAGGAGCGGGGCCTGTGGGATGTTTTCTCTAGTTGCCGCACCTTGCCTCAGCATTCTCCAAATCCTGCTAAGAAGATTGTTCTACTGAACAAGGTAGCACGTTTCCGTGTCCCCACTGTCTGCACTCTGGGTGCCTGTGTCTTGAGCACTGCCAGAGAGCAGCTCATGAGCTCTTGGGACTAAGTGATGTGGTGGCCACGCCCCACACTTAGCAGTCACAGAGCGTGGTCCCTGCATTCATGGAGGGCCAGGATATACACAGTGTGAGCTGGTCTCTACATGCTCACATCCCCAAACATGCCTTTATTGGAATATGTGGCCTGTCACATCACATTTTCCATGAGCTGGTGTCCAGTCACCCGTGCACTTCTCTTCTGGGTAGATCTCCAGACTTCAAGCGCTCGCCACACGGGAGCTGGCTCTTTTGATGACTCTGCACTGAGCTGGCCAACAGGGAACCGGAGGGGGAATTTCCCAGGGGCTTTTAAAGTTAGTTGTTGCTGAGATGAAAAGAAGGATCTGAGTTGTTTCTAAGAGAACCCTCTTAGTGGATGTCTTAACAACCGCGGTTTGGCTAAATTGTGAAATAAACTTTTTCAATCCAATTATATGGTTGGGCCTCGAGTAAAAAAAGGGGGAAATGAAGGGCCTCAAAATTCCAAGTTAGGAAGAAAATGTACCCTTCCCTGTCCCCACCTCATCACTGTGCACTACTCCGCCCCTCCCACCTTTCTGTGTAACATTTGTATTGTCTGTATATTTTTATAGAATGGTTTCCAAAACAACTGTATCCTGAAAATGGAGGGAGAGCAAATTCAAGAGTGTAATAGAATCACTTATGAGACAGTAGAGAAACCAATTACTGAAAAAGAAATAAAAAGTGTAAGGATTGGAAAAGAAGAAATAAAATTCCAATTATTTGCAAGGACATGTCTGTATAAAAAAAAATTCCAAAAGAATCTGTAGGTAATTTGTTAGAATTAGTGTTTTACAAGGTCAACATGCTAACGTGAATGGCATCTGCATACCATGTGACAGGCTGCATTTCACAAAGATGTCCATGGTGATGTCTGCCATGCCACAGGCTCTTCTGCAGTGTGACTTACCACTCCCTCATCAATAGATGGGGTTTCCTCCCCCTCCCTTGAATCTGGTGGCCTTATGACTCAACTGTGACCAACAGAGCATGGTAGAAATGATGCTGCCTAGCTCCCAAGGCTCTGCCAGAAAAAGCTGAGTAGCTTCCTTCTGGGTCATTGAAAATGCTTGCACTCTGCAAGGTCACTCTCAGGGGTCCTTCTACCAGAGCCCAGCTGCTAAGCTGTGACAAGCCAAGGCACATGAGAGGTGACATGAAGGGCTTCTGTAAATGGTCCTGGAGGAGCCTCGCCTGTGAGTCAGTCCAGAATGGTAACCAATCTGTGAGTCAGGGACCTTCCAGATGGTTCCCCCAGCCATTTGAGTCACCCCAGCTGTCCGAGTCTTCTCAGCTGAGGCCCTGGGCACCTTGGAGCAGAGGAGACATTTTTATTGTACCTTGTCTAGCTTGTTTCCCCACAGAGGCCACGGTAGGATAAAAGGGCTGTTATTTCACAGCACTGAGTCTGGGATGGCTTGTCATACAGCTTTGGGTAGTCAAAAAATACACAATAATGAAGAATTCGAAAAATGAAAATAGTTACAATAGCATTAAAAAAAACTCAATCGCTTTGGAATGAATCTTATGAAAGATGTGTAAGACCTTTATACAAGAAGCTATAAAGCTCTATTAAGAGAAATTAAAGAAGACTAAAATAAATAAATGAAGGAATACACCATGGACACAAATTCAAATATTTACCGTATTTGCCGAAGTATAAGATGACCCCCTAACATTTCCACTCAAAATACAGAGTTTGTTATATACTCGCCGTATAAGACTACCCCCTCTTCCGCACACCTTCCACACACCAAATAA